AAAATTTATATAAAAATATTACAGATTGGAAACATTGAAGAATGGGTAACAACCAATAGAACATTTTTAATAAGAAGACAGAGACAACTACAGACCAATTTTATTTATTTATTAAATTTCTCCCCCGCCCATCTCCCCCCAATGGGGGAACTCTGGGCAACTCACACAGAACATTAAAACCATAAATATATATAAATACATAAACATCAATTTAAAAACATTTCTAAAAAAGGGAAAGGAGATTATTTGCTTACCAACAATGCTTAAGCTGTTTACTTGTAAATTAGCAACTGTAACTTGAAATCACATATTCAAAAATTCATTGTATCAACTTAACAAAAAATTAACTGCCAAAATTCATAAGGAACAAAAGATCAATTGATGATTGATAAATAAATAAATATATAGATAGATAGATAGAAAGATAGATAGATACACACACACACACACACACATACTACACTAAAAAGCTCCACTTACAATATCACAAGTTGCAATCCTCTTTCTTTTATGCTTTAACCAGTAGGTGGTGACACTGTGTTTTGAAATCCTGAACGGACTGTTTAAGAATTATCTTTAGCTCTCCTGGCAATGTTATTCTGAACTTCTCAGAAGGTGGGTGATAACATTTCTTTCTAATGACACTTGTTTGAACTATTGACCAGAAGTGTAACACATTCTTAAAAGAATGTGCAAGCTTTATTCTTTCCTAGGTTTTGAATTAATCAGGCAATGTATCACAAAAAGGAACAAATAAGGAAATAAAGAAACAATCCCAAATTAGGCCAGATCTTTTCCATTCTGAAAAAGAAGACTGCAAACTGAAAAAGGTAATAAGTAAATAATCAGGCTATGAGACTATACCTGGCACCCTGGGACATCCTTACTGTACTGTACATATAGCATAATAATACTGCAGGTAATTCCTAAATCATATTTTTCCAGGCATCAGGTATTTAAACAAATATGGAATTAAACTAAAATCAATTACAAGATCTCACATAGCCATTTCATTCTGCCTGATGAACACAAATGCTTACATTCTTTAACTAGCCAACAGAAGGTGGGGTGTTTCAGAATCAATTAGGAATCTACTCTGAAAATAATAACAGCATCAATTCTTTTCCCCAAAGAGGTGGATTTTTCTTTGGCTCTATTAAGGTTTCAGCTGTAATCTCAAACAGTATTGATGACTCAGTTTATAAATACTCCATTTGTACTTACAGATGCCATAGTTTGGATTTTTACTTCTAGCTGGCACTTGTGACACGCCTAGAAAGTATACAAAGATAATGTTCCTTTTTTCCTGTTCATAATTAACTGCAGTGATCATAACGCTAATGTGTAATAATCTAAATCTCAAAAATGTCCACTTTGAAATGAAAACTGTGATTGGAAACTGCACTGAGCTTGTAATTAAATTGCAATTGCAGAGCTTATAATTAAATTCACACAAACCCTTTCCAATGTAACTGATCATCCTTTCACTGAGAGCTGGTGTGAATATTTAAAAAACCCAGCTAATTAGCTACCGCCTAAATGAGACTGGGGGAAAGGAGCCTCAAAAGAGAGCTCCAGAAAATAGTAAAGCTCTCTCACTTATGTCCTGCATACTGTACATATCGCAAGCTACTGGTCTGACTTCAGTAATAAACTCTTGTATTTGGATACCTAATTTCCAAGGATCGATCTGGCCCAACTAAATAAGTAATCTCTATTCTAGTCTTGTGAGAATATCTGGTATTTTACTAGTCAGATAGCATTAACTCATGTTTTTTTTACAGTCCAAAATCAATGTAAAGAAATGTAATGAGAAGGTAAAAAGATATAGTACCTTAGCTGATATAAACAGTTGTTGATCACATTTCAGTAATGGAAGGACCCTGGACAGTTGGTACAAACAGGGTGCCCTGGGATCTCCTACGGAGAGGCTGCACCCAGACTTAGACAAGCACCAGAGGATTTTAGGATTTAAGTGGCTATGATGTGGATTGGTCACAGCCATTGTTTTCCATGTGGCAATATAGGCTGTGCATCTCTATAATATATATAATATATTAATAATATATATTAGGGTCTGAGTAACATGCATACATACAGGCATTTCAGGGCAGAACAGGCTCCATTAGGGCAGCTTGTCTCACTGCATAGGACACTGTCTGGCTAAGCCTACCCTATTAATCATATTTATCATACCTACTTGGACAAGATTATTCATGAATTTTTCTTCGGTTTTTTTAGTTGCTTTTTATGGAATTTAAATCCATGTGGAATCCATGCTTGATGCAACTGAACTCTGGTCCCATAAAATAAGACAGTTCCCCCACAAACACAGAAATATTTGGACTCCAACCTATGCTGGACACTGAAACTATTACCATTACCATCATCTCCCAAGGTTTTCTGCTTGTAGTCTGTTGTGTGATCCTACTGTATGACAGATGCATTTGGAACTGGCTGCTGTCTTGGAGTCCCAGATGTATACCTTTATTAAACTGACCTGTTAATAAAGTTTTAAGGGACTGCATTAAAAGGAAAACAGGAGCCTAATATATAATATAAGAACCGTTAATTATGTTGCTCATACATATTAGAATAAATCTCAAATTAATGGACTGTTTAAAGGGAAGGGATGCCCATTAAGTCAAAATGTCTGCTAAATCTGAATTTGCATCAGTTTATATCATTTGAAAAAATATGATTTCAATGAAGTCATTTGCAATTAAACTTCTGTTTGATGGACAAGCATTCTATTTAACCAGAACTTGACTCTGAAATGGGACTGAAGTCTGAATGGAAAAATTGTCCACTTTATTGGCTAAGTCAAGGTTGGTTAAATCAAGGGTTTACTGTAACTGTTTTAATTTTTTAAACCAATACATAAATACAAATGTTGTATCACTAGTAATAATTACAACCAACAAAACTGTCTAATGTGTTATAGCAACTTATTTCTTCTACTATATCAGAAGGAAACATGTTTTGATGAAGTATCTGATGGAAATTATGTTTGAAATGAAGGAAGGAATCTGCACAAAACTCTAGCCTGGAACACTCCTGAAGTCTTGTAGTGGTTTAACTGAATATTACACCTAGAGGCCTAGCTCCTCCACAGCCAGGGAGACTGGAACCCGCAATCCCACAAAAAGCAACCAAGTATGTCACAGTCCACTGCAGGCAGCAGTTTGCTTTATGGGACAGCATCTAACACAGAGCTGCTTTTAAAGCCCCACCCCATACTGCAGCTGTTCTGAAACAGTTTGACTCAATTACCCCTTTTCTGGGTTTCGAATACTATCGTTCTTCTTCCCCCACTAAAAAAAACCCCACACTCTTGTTTTACACAAGCGTCTTGGCAGCAACAATCCCGTTGCACCATCACCCCCGGGGTTTGCCCAAACTACCCCCAGTTTAAGAACCGCTGCCATGGTGGCTTCTTTCCTGAATTAAGTCAGAAAGGACAACCCCTTTCCATTTCTCCAAAAAATGGGTTAAGAATTATGGCCTCGAACCTTGAAGTGGAGCTGCGGGAAAAGCCTTCTGGCTTTTAGTGTGCTCAGGAAGGAAGAAGGTGCTGCCTGACACCCAGCTAGGGAATGGGGAGAATCCTCTGACAATCCTGCCGTTGCGAGGGAAGGGCTGCCACTGCTAACCGTTTTTCTCAGAAGTCCCTAATACGTTCCATTCATTTTCATTTTCATTTGCAAGAGCTACAGAATTACTCCAGCGCGTTCACTCCTTCCTGGCGTGTCACAGTGTACAGAGAACCGGCTAAATGAAGATGAACTCTACGTGTCCCCAAAGGGAGAGGGGCGCTTCACGCATTCGGAAAGGAACGGAGGGCAGGGGAGGGCAGGGGTCTCCGCCCGCATCTTTTCGCTGCAATGCCTTCTTTCCTCCAGAAGGTTTACCGTTCGTTTGTTGCAATGAGAAAAATGGACGCCAGAAACTCGTGTGCTGTTCAGAAAAGTTTGTAGAGGTGGAGCGTGGAGGGAGGAACCCTGCCTTGTGGCACGGAGGCAGCCGACGGAAAGCAGCCTTTGTTCTCCCGCCCGCCAGGGCAGGTGCTGCTCGCCTCCGCCGTTGCTCGCCGATCAGACGTCGCTGGCGGGCGGGGGGGGGGGGGGGGG